TTTCCCTTTCCTCGAAACGAACAGTTTACTTGCAAGATACACCGGTGTGTTTGTTAAGAGGTCAAAGAGAGAGGATGGCAGCGAGACGTGCAGCGCGTCGCGCGCGAGAAAATGAGTTCTCCCTCCGTTTTATTTCGGTCGCGGATCCTCGTGTGGGCAATATTTCGGCTGCTTCTTACTCGCCGGCTTCCTTTCTCTCTTTTCGACGGTGGAGCCCGACTCGAAAATAGCCCGGGAGCGTATATGTCAGCCCCCTGGAAATGAAATCCCACAGCGTCGCCCGTAGAAACAATGTGTCGAGCCGCGAACTTGACAGCCGCGATCATTCTAATGACTCGTCTCGTATGAAACACAAAGACGATCGTCGCCCGATGACGACGACGATATGCCGAGAGAAGATCGGCTCCGTGACGCTATTAACAGCATCGTCGCATGACTTAAGTCTAGCATGCGTATCGCTCCACATATAGCATATTAGCAAGGAACAGTATTTTCCGTTTCAAGAAAAAGAAAGAGAAAGAGAGATATCGCATATATAGAACAGTTTAACAAAAAAAAAATACAAGAGAAGAATAATTTTATTTTTTATAGTTATAATCTAATAGAAATTCAAAAAATTAATTCGTAACTTCTCTTTATTTAGCGAAAATAATATTTTATTATAATTCTAATTATTCAAAAAATTCAAAAGAAGGATATATTTCATAATTAAAAAATTACGTAGCACATTTTTCAAGACTTGGTACAGACAAATGCATAAAAGATAAAAATGTGTATTTTGCAGTCCATATCCAATTTTAATTATATTATAGAACATGAAGAAGAGAAGATGCTTCCCCTCTCTTTCTCTCGGTTTATCGGTTGATATAATCGTATACTTTCTTATATTCCGTTCGTAACCGAATTTAGTGCGCATCGCGGCACGGGACGACTATAGGATTGTGGGTTCCAAAATATCGCGGTCCTCTCTTGCGTGTTTGCCCCTCCGTCTTCTCCATCGAGTGAATCTAACGCGTCTATTAATATTCGCCAGTTATTTTTGGAAACGGGTGCTTACTGAGAAGGAAGGCCTGCTTTTTAACGTGCATGGAGTTACATGTCCGTGCATCTTTGGAGACATTCCTAAGATCACTCGCTCGAGTTAAGTTGCCGGTTTTAAGCACGTTGCTTAAATGTCGTACCTATCCGTTATTTAGTAATTATTTTATTGAAGAAAAAATAGTTTTTCTGTCGTGAATATATTAACTCTCAACAGAGCCGATAAGAGCCGATAAAGGGAGTTAATGTATTTCCTTTATACTTGACATATCTTATCGTCGATAAACCGCGATAACTCGACCAAATTTACGGTTAATTTATATGCACGGATTATAATTCGATGCGAATTTTCAAGTCTCTGTCAACTTGAAATTCGATGACTGTACTTTTTAAAAACTTGAGATTTTTTTGTTTATTCCGTCCGTTACGCTTGGACGGTGCATGAACGCTAGGATTTTCAAGTAAGATAATATTAATAGCTTGACCGACTTGGATCGTGTCCAATAATAGCAAATTCATCCTGCATATATCTGTGCGACTAGATATTTGCAAGGATTAGACGATCATTGTCACGAAAATATAATTTTAGGTAAAATTTCGCTAAATTACAAAAATATTTTAAAATATTTAAAAAATAATTCCCTCTAAAATATTTAGAAAAATTAAAAAATTAGAAACTAGAAACGGAGTAGATTTAGAAAAAAAAAAAAAATACGTCATGTTCAGCAATAATCGCTGCTGATAATCCTGACTGATTCAAATCCGAAAATCGTTTTTAAAGTTTTCGCTTCGCTATATTATATCTTGAGTAAAGAGAATCGACAGACTTCTACTTTATATCGTTTTTTATAAGTTTGTCAGGGATGGGAAGAGAGGATGGGGCGGCAATTATAATTACAACTTATATAGTTCAAGGTCTAAAATTAATAATTAAATTTCTTCTCGAAATCGAAATATGGAATATCGAGATTTATATCCTCCTTTTTTCAATCTCAACACTGTAATATAGCCTCGTAATTTAAAATGGAATCTCGAGAATCTTCCCGCTGCTCCATCAGCTGACGGCCACGCGAGAATGACTTTACGAGTAGGTGAAGCACCAGACTTTACCCATCGAGGGTTTAATGAACCCCGAGGTTCGATGTCCCTTCGAAGGAATCGACCATTGGCAAGGAAAAGCGACCGATCGGTTGAGACAGGTACAGGATAAAAAGAGAGAGAGAGAGAGAGAGAGAGCGCACGCACACGACATAAACGCCGGGATACTGCGCGCGGGAGATCGGACACACCCAAGAGAGTCTGCGTCTCCACGTCCTATAGGTATACACTATCGGTATTGATCGCACGCACCGGCTCTCCTCCACGGCGGGCCATCTTCCTTCCTTCCTTCCTTTCATCCCTCGGCCGTTCATTGGCCTCACCGTGCTATCACGTCACATACACACATGCAGATATTCTCTCTCTCTTTCTCTCTTTCTGCTTCTCGATATGACCCTTTATGACCTCGATCGCGGGTCAATCACAGTCTCAACTTCCGGAATATTCAAATGGAAAAACGCACACTTCAAGAAATTTCCGTGTCAAACGTGATTATCTGATTTTCATCCCGAGATAACGTTATACGTGATCTTCGCGTAAGACAGACAAGGCTGTCGAGGAAGTCTCTTAGTACCTTGGATTTAACGCTAAGCTCGCGCAAATTCCGTCGCGTTAGTGAAATCAAACATTGCGAAGATTCGCGTTTGCGAAATCACGATCAATCACGAATGCAATGAAGAATCAATGTGTTTTACCAATTATATCAATAGCTTTCGATGCAGAACACGCGCGTGAATGTATATATGTATGTAGAAAGTCTCGGTGACATGACGTCTGTCTAATTTCCTGCCACAACTGTGGAAAAGTATTGATTCGTGGATTGTCGCGAAGCGAGGGTGACGTTTCGCCGTCTTGTAAGAACAGCACTCAAAAAAATGTCTTGCTGATATAGGTAGATTTCTAGGTGTCACAACAAAAATTTATCGCTATTTTTTGTATCTGTTAGAATATTGTCTGTTACATATAGAATTTATAGCAGCAATATTCTAATAATATCTTCTAGAAAATTTAAGTCCCATTGCCAAATGTTAATCACTGCATTGGATAAATATGAGTTTCGATACTACAGCTAGAACGATCTTTGTGAGAAATATAACTGCCAATTATAACTGCAGCATCGAAAAATTGAGAGCAATTGTTTAAAAGAGCTAGATAGATTGGGCGCGTTATACAAATATGTTAGATGTGAGGATTATATATTCATTTGTTTCTTGCCGCTAATTTTTTCTGTGTACCACAGCCAAACTTTATAACAAGTATGATTGGCCTTAACATGGATAGGCGCCACAGAAAAACATTCTTTCTAAATTTCACAAACAGTTCAGATATAAATTCTGTCTCTGTCACTTAGATTGATTAAATGCGAAACATATGCGATATCACAGTATTTGCTAATCATTTATGTACCTCGGTTAATTTTGCGCACCCAGAAAATTTTTGCTGTAGTTGCAATACCACTTTTTTGAGTGAGCTCAATTTTGTTTTCCCACGGTTTTCTGCGGTCTTACATACCTAGTAAAAACGAGACATCTAAATTTTCTTTAATCAAAACGTAGAAAAATATTTCAAAGAAGAAATTTACACGACTGTCAAACATGACAAGTATAACAATTTTTTTTTTTTTTCGATTTGTCATTTTTCCAACATTACCATAAAGACATCGATATTTTCTCGGTTGAAACTAACAATAAATGTATCTTTTATTCGGATAGAAATTATTGTTAAAGACGTCTTAATCTGCCTTAAAAATATCTACCTTATAACATCTTAATCTGTGCCTTCACTATTATATTCTTTCGCGTTAACATATTTAAATCCGAAAGTATGGGTTGCTTAGATATCTTATTATTAGTGAGCGAGACCTGTGCCGATCAAATCCACGCAATTAACACGCGGATCGAGCAGCCGGCACGTCTAGGTCTATGCACGGACGTTACCTTGACACGCTATGGCGCCGCTCAAAGTCATGGCCAATCGAAGACACGTAGTCGGCCTGCGTGCTGCGTGTTCCTCCACAGAGGACGAACGAGTTACATATGCGATTTCGATGCGTATCACCGGGGAAAATGTGTGTGTGCGTGCGTGTATATAACTGTAATCGTCACACGATGTCTCGAATAATTGTATCGCGAGATTTTTTCTTCGGTGAACTAGACGGGAATTTGACAAAGATAATATCGAATAGAGAAATATATTTGAATCGATTAACTGAGAAATTCTTAATAATATAAGAAAGTGTCGATTTCTCAAGAACGTTGATAAAATTTCACAAAACGCATAGGAGAAGAGAGGAGAAGAACCGATAACAGACGTCGCATTGATAACGACGTAGATCCTCTTAATCTGACGGCCATTGTTATGTGACCGACGAGTGGATTATCTCAGGATCTTCTTGACTGCTTAACATATGGCGCGGTTCGCAGTTGAAATACGTGAAAGCATGGCGTGTCTGTATGCGATATCGAGTTACGTGGCGTCTTTGCGATGCACACGGCACACGATAACTGCAATCGCACTGCAACCGCGAATCACGACCGCGAGAAAGACGCGCATCTTGCCGCTATTTACAATTCGGATTTTTTTACATTTTGCTAATTGGAGTTTTTTTGAGCAATTTTATTCTGCGGTGCGATGTACAGAATCCATATCTTTCCAGATATGGCAAAGCACGCGTTTTGAAATATTAAAGAAACCGCAAAGTATGACGTTACTGTTACATTGAACAATAAAAATAGACCTCGGGAGGGATCTGTTTGAATGAATAATAAAATAAAGCATCTCTACTGTTTTTCTTTTCTTCCTCGCATAACATACTGTTCAAATCCTTGAAATAATCGTTTAAAAAGATCGATTTGCGATACAGATAAATAAATAAATAAATAAATCCATTGCTATCATTGTTATTCTTCTTACGAAATACATTGCAATAAATGTTCTCTTGTAAATCGATTTAAGAAATTCTCTATCCGGTGACGTATATCGCGAAATATCTCATGGCGCGTACATGACGGCATCGATTTATCTCGACGTCGTTCTCGGCGCGAGGATGTGAATGATGTTTTTTTGACCTTGCTTTTAGGAGACGACATACTCGAGTGACTTGAAATCGATAAAGCTAGAGTGCTATATCGATTACGACTGCATGCATTTGTTGTTCTTCCCTCTTTACAGAGAGGCAATTAATTACCGCTCTGTGACACAAACGAAAAAGATTCGGGATTCGTCCATTGCAATATAGTTCGTTAAGAATCAGATGGATCGGCTTCGAAGAGGCAAACTATATACATATACATTCGCCTTTACACGATCGATTATCAGAGAGACAGATGGGAGGGTAGATCGATTTTCATTCGCGGGTTACATTTTCGGATCTTTGAGATCCGATAGAATCGGAGATGGAAATGGATCGCCCCCTCTGCTAAGTCCTTTGTCTCCTTGTTAATGAGCAGCCTCGGTGACTTCGGGCACGCGTATCGATTCTCACGATATAATCATGCTACCGTTTTATTCGCTCGGCTGATTACGATCTCGAGAGATGGCGCCGAGAGACTCTCCTCGGAGTCTTGTCATTACGATTGTCGCATATTAATTTCGTACCATCGAAAGATGGTTCGCAACAAATTCCGATACGTATTATAGATTCGCGATATCTCAGAGATTAATTTTTCTCCTATATTAATAATTCATTACTTCATATTCTATTTAATCTTCCTCCTTGATTCTCTCTCTATATTTGTTGTTTTTCATTTCAAATATAATTATTAAAAATTAATGAGATTAATTATTAATGCTGCGATGAGAAAATGGGAATACATGGTCGATAAAATACAATATGCAAAAATCAATACGAAATATCGCGCGCGTCGCGATGTCTAAAGTTGATGTGATGTCTCCACACGACTTTCGTTCGCGATAACTGACGCGTCAACGAATTGATCGTCAGTCGTGTAAGACACTGTGTTCCCTGGCGTGTCCGGCAACGGTAACGAAACCGCGATGCAAAGTGCTTTGAAGCGGACGTGCTTCTCGCCGGCTGCAACGCGAACGGATCGATCGATGAACCATCGAGTGATGGAATCCGCTCGCTCGCCGCTTCTAATATCAGCCATTTCTATCTCGTACACGTCTGTCCCGGTAAATATCCGATAATCAGTCTTTTTTTATTTTATTTTTTTTTTTTCAACGCATTAATTAATCACGAAATTCGAAGTGTTTCAAAATCGAATGTCCTTTTAACAGCAGATTCTTTGGACAATTTAAATCCCCTCCATTAAATTCCACATCATAATTGAAGAATATAAGTTTGTTAATCTCTTGGCTCTGTAAGCGGGGGAAAACGCTTCTGTTTCAGGCGCGGAAAGCGGCGACGCGCCCAAGAAGAAGGGTTTCTTCAAGGGCTTTTGGAAGAGATCGCGCCACTACTCCCTGGAGAACCAATAGCCCAGGTGCGCGAGGGTGACGAGCCACCATCAGCGGAACAGGCAGCTGCGGCAGCAGCGACAGCGGAGCATCGCCACCACGACGACCCTCGCGAACAATCCCTGCTGCTGCATCGTCCAGTAACCCCGATTTACACGTGTATCGACCGCGACCCTCATCCCTCCCCCTCTCCAAACGGGTGTTTGTCTTCTCGCGTGCACGCTCTCGACACGATGCCGCTATTCGCGCGCACAAATCCGATTAATTGCGTTTATTTTAGCAATCAACCCCTGAATCGACCAATTACTAATGATAAAATATGCTCTTTATGATTTTGCCTTTGAGTTTATTAAGCGACAACTCGCGCGAAAGATTACTCTTCAAAAATTATATCATTCTCCCTCTTTCTGAAATCTGAATCTAATATCTGTACATAAATTAGAATGGCATAATCGACTTTTATAATCGCCATTGACAGATTAAAAACGACATCCTTTCCCGTCTTATCCTGCCGGAGAACCAAACGACATGATTTTTCAGGTTCGCCGCAAAAGGGTGAGTCTTTGCGTGTCATTCGGTTTCGCTTTCATAAGTTGATTTTTCTTTTTTTTTTCTACATTTCGTAATAAATTAATCATTTTAATCGAGAATATAGACAAGAAATTGTTCGACAATTTTTCAAAAATTCCAGAACTCTTCCGCACGATATACTAGCCTTTATCGATATTACGTTATTAGTCATCTCAAAGAGATTCGCGCGATGTCGGGTCACTTTCGCGGGAGAACGTGTCACGGTCTAGAGAGCTGGAACGCGAGAGTCGTCCCAAATCGAAATGCTTCTTCACGGTGTCTTCGTCACGCTGCCTGTCACGCCGCGTTGAGTTGTCTCGCCACGCGTTATCACAAGCCTAAAGTGATTCGCGATTCGCGCTTACGAGGAATTGCGTGCGGACGTGATTCTCGCTAATCGACGAAAGTCGAGAGACGCTCACGTTCCTTTCTTTTCTTTCTAAAGAACCTCAACGATGTTGTACATCAGCGATGTCTAATTATCCTTCTTTTTCGAACAAATTATTTTTTGCTATCATTAATTTCGACAAAAAAAAAAAGAATCTTAATTTTTCTTTAATGTATGAGATTTTTTCGGAAACATGTATAATTAATGTGTTCATAGAGGAGAATATGAAATATGAATCTCTTTTATTAGGAGCCTATTTAAATTGTCCTGATTAGAATCATTAACGTAGGAATTGTTTAATTTTGTTAATAAACTGAGTTTCTCTCTCGAAAAAGAAGAAAAGCCTGATTTTTAAATAAACATTTTTACGTAGCGCTATTTCAATTTTTGACACGATAATAGATCGAATACTTCTTTTTTTTTTAACGCTACGATAAATATTTTTTGTCGTCAATCGCGTTTTCGTTAATCGGCGAGATCGCGTGCTTTCAGTTCCAATCTTTCCACCATTCTCCTTTTATAATCGAAAAATAACGCACGCCGCGCGCGTTGTAGAAATGAGAAACGAGAAAACAGAGTAATAAAATAATAAACGATTCAATATACAGAGTATTCGAGTATATATATTTGAGTATACTCAAACTTTTATTATTATGCGTGCGAGACGGAGGAGTATAAGAGCGAAAGAATGAGAGAGAGAGAGAGAGAGAGAGAGAGAGAGAGAAAGTGAGAGAAGCGGGCGCGAGTGAAAAATGAAAGAGATATCACACCGCGCATTATTATTGATTACGATTGTAAGTTTATAGAATCATTAATACGTTGTAACGTTATTATTAATGGGACGATTACACAAACGCATACATATACAAGCGACACACAATACACACACATACATATATATACACACCCCGAGATACGCGTTAACGATAATAAGAATAAAATACTATTGATTAACATTATTACCGATAATATAATTAATTGAAGTTAATAGCTGATAATGTAACGAAGAGAGAAGTGACGATGATGATGATAACTACGATCGCATGTATTTAATAGAGTTTTTAAGTCAATGTATCGCGTTCATCCCATCGGATATCTGACAAAGACGACCGGCAAGAGACTACAATCGGAAATCGGTCGAATGCCAAAGATTGTTCCGTGGTGTGTCGAGCTCGAAGAAACTGTAGGAGAGAAAACTGTCGACGAACCTTTCAGCCTAGCGCGTAATATATATATTTATATATAGATTTGTAAATTATTTTCTATCTCTCTAGAATTTTCGTATACTCTCGCGACGCTTAAATTTGAAATGATTAAAAATGAAAAAAAAAAGGAAATTTTTGATTTCCCTTTTATATCGATCGAATGCGAACGAAAAAAAAAAATTCATTTTTCTTTCAGATAACAGTATTTGAATGTACAGAGTAATTTAGGAAGAAAGTCTCAGGGGCAATAGGATATTTATTATTATTGAAAATTTTCCCGAACAAAAAACGATATTTCGCTTTAGCGGAATGTGTTAATCCTCTTGCCTCTCTGACATTCCCGATTACTCGCCAAATGTTAGACAAATTTTTTGAGGCGCTTGAGAAATATAATTTATCTTATTAAATGTATCCTACTTTTCATTTCTCTCTAGAGTTCGTCAAACTCCGCCAACAGATTTACGAGACGGCTGCTAAACTGTTCATTTTATTTCTCTATTCCTTGTGTCATCGATAACGATCTGTATCCCGTTAATAGAGGGAAAGAAGCAAGATTATAATTGCATGACGGTGCGTTTTGGACAAAATCTCGGTTAATCGCGAAATTTTCGAAACGGTACGCGACGTTGAGGTTCCTCGATCGGCAATGGACAATGGGCATTCACGGAGCGTCCGTCACGGCAAGGTACAAACTGTTGGCTAAAACTTTGTTGTTCATCCGTCGACGTTACCGATAAGTCTTAAAGGTAATCTAGATAAGCGTAAACTGCGGAGCGTTAACGATTTTGCGCGCTGCTCCCATTAAGTCTATCTCATCACTGCCGCGTCTCGCAGGTCAGATCAGATCAAGTTGAACCTTGACGATTCTAAAGCATGGATGGATATTAGGAGTGAGAATTTAATCTGGTCAATTTTTATATCTGAATAAATTTTTTATTAATTAAATAAGTTTTATATTTTTTAATTAAATAACCGATACTAGAATCTGAATAATTATAGAGATAAAAATTATAGAAAGTCTCAAATGTGGCATGTAAATCATAAAGAACGACACTCCAATCTTTTTCTCATAGATCTTTTAAAAACTTAATCTTGGTACAGAATGAAATTAAAAGATCAATCAATGCAAGAACGAAATAGATGCATGGATTTGTCTCATTCTTGAATTAAAGTTTTAATTCGGTTTCGCGATATCGTCTAGTTTATTCACGTGCCAAGATTAGGAAGCTAGAGGATAATGCATTCAATTAATGCAACGTGTCGTACATAATAAAATCGTAAAAATACGCCGCATTGCGTACACGTTTTCCCACCATCCGCAGAGATCCGGTGTCATCTGCGAGACGCTGCTTAACGAACGGCCTCATATTGAGGTCACGTAATCACGATCAACGAGATCACGTTTGATTGTGAGATATGATCCCCACGAGAGACTGCAGCGTCTTCGAATACGAGCTGCGATCTATCGATTCCGCGAGAGAATCCATTTTCCAAATGAAATGCGCCCTTTCTTCCAAAATAATTTCGCACATTTCTGAAATTAATTTTACTCTACACGTTTTCATTACTATTTGATATTTTTATAAATAAATGTCCTCGTGTCGGAATCGCAGATTGCAGTCTCCCGTAGATCACGTCTGTCGGATAGCAAACGAATCACAATGCGATGACTAATATCGCGAAATAGTCGTTTCGCTTTCATTGTTAGATTACCGACTGTCACGATCCTCGTCGTTGTTTCACGTCACGTCACGACGAAGACAACGAGCGAACTCGGAAACGCGCCGGGATGAATCGCGGCGAAGAGAGAGACCCGGTCTTTTTTCACGAGCGTAGATAATAGAATCGATGGGTATTCGCGCAGAGACGAACCTCGACGCGACACGCGGTGAACCGAATCACCGCGTCAAAATCCTTTGAGAGAAGGAAGAGAATCCACAGGCTCGGAATAAATAGAAGTAGTAGCTAAGCACCAAACCGCATGCCTTATACGCGAGGATCCGCGCGCCGACACCATCCCGAAGGGACGCGATCTCCCCTTCATATAATCTCGATATCATAATATATATTATTTTATTTTATATTATATATAATTTATATATATGTATGTATGTATATTACAGTACGTAGTTACGTCTTGTAACATTTATAAACTCGATATTAATACCTGAAAATAAAAACCGCAAATGGAATTCAAACCACGATTGTATACCATATCTTTTATCGGTCATAGGGAAAAAA